TAACACCGGTTAAATAATCTTACATATAGATGTCAACATAAAGCAGAAGTCAGATTAAATGCTTTTTATTTTGAAATAAAGAGGGTAAGAAATAAAAAACATAACATTCTTTTAATGCAGTTTTGAGACGTGACAACAGTTAACCAAAGAGTTTATTATCATGTTACACATTTATCTTAGTTCTATTACTTCATCTAATGGATAAATGACATGTGTTAACTAAGGGTCATGGAAACATCACTTAATACTATGATGAGGCTCGTGTCGGGAAAGAGATTCTACGGTGATGACTGTGATGTGAGTGATGTGGAGAAGGCCAAAGAATTTAGAGGTATCCTTAGAGAGATGGTGTCGTTAGCAGGAGTAAATAACCGTGGAGACTTCTTGCCTTTCTTGAGGTGGTTTGATTTAGATAATTTGGAAAAGAGACTAAAGAACATTGGGAAGAGAATCGATGCATTCTTACAATCACTCATTGACGAAATTCGTGCTTCAAATAAGACTACCAATACTATGATATCTCAGCTCTTAGTTCAACAACGAACACAACCTGAACAATACAGCGATCAAATTATCAAAGGACTTTGCATGGTAATTATTTTTGTCCATGCAAATCACTATTTTATTTTTGAAAGCGATAAACTAATAATTCAAATAAACTATTGTTATTATTTTTGCAGAGTATGTTACTTGCAGGAACAGATACATCAGCTTTGACTTTAGAATGGGGAATGGCTAATTTATTGAACCATCCAGAAGTTTTAAAGAGAGCAAAAGAAGAGCTAGACACTCACGTGGGATCAGATCGTCTGGTAGATGAATCAGATATGTCAAAACTTCCTTATGTTCTAAACATCTTTTTCGAGACGATAAGATTGCATCCTGCTGCACCACTTTGGTCACCACATATGTCTTCAGAAGATTGTACCATCGGAGGATATAATCTCCCAAAAAATACAATTCTGTTGGTTAATGCATGGTCCATTCATCACGATCCAACTTTGTGGAAAAACCCATATGAATTTAGGCCTGAAAGGTTTGAGAAGGAATGTGACTCAAGCAGTTTGCTTTCATTTGGATTAGGGAGGAGGTCTTGTCCTGGAAACAACTTGGCTCAACGTACTGTGGGATTAGCTTTGGCTTCATTGATTCAATGTTTTGAGTGGCAACGAATCGGTAAGGAAGAAATTGATATGACTGAAGCAAAGGGAATCACTATATCAAGGCAAAACCCATTGGAAGTTATGTGCAAAGCTCGTCAAATCCCAGCTATTACGGATCTGTATTGATTTCTCATGTCTAGTAAAAATAATGTATTTTCTGAAAAATAAATATGGGTTAATATTGTAATCTTGCCAGAAATAAATATGATTCTCGAGGGTGATATTTAAGGAATAAAAATAATGTATTGTGTGGAGAATAACCATGTATTTATCATCATGATGTGGTGAAAATAAATATGTTTGTAGTTATTGTATGTTAAGTTGAAGCTTGTAATAAATTTATATAATATTATTCCATATCATGTACAAGTGGAGGAGTATTTAATTCATGTGATAATTTGAATTACATATTAATTTAACTACTATAGTTCCTCTCTAATAATTTTTAACTTATCTCACGAGTGTTCTAGAATTTATTAAGAAAATTAATTTTATTATTTAATTATTTAATTAAAATATTCAATATAAAGATAATTTAATATAGAATTCATATTACTAACAATTATATATACTAATTTATATGTTATTTAAAATAGGATGTTCTATTCCTTAATTTTAAGTAAAAACTAAAATTAATTTCTTCAAAATTTTGAATTAATTTAATCTCTTATTTGTTGAGATTTAATTCTTTTAATCAAATTTTGTTAAATTTATTTATTCTTTTCATAATAACATTTGGAGTCTTTATACTGATTAATATATTTTTGCTTCAAAATTAGTTGAAATTTTCATTATAACATTTGAGTTATTTATTTTATTTAATATATTTGAGTTGGTTAAAAAAACTAAATTCTATATTTTTTATTTATAAAGTCAAGAAATTAAATCAAATCAAATTAAAAAAAATTAATTCTAATTTTCTTTAAAATTTATTGGACCCTTGAAATATAAGAATGATTTAATGTTCTTAAAATTGAATAAAGTTGTAGTATCAAATAAAACATAACATAACTAAATAAAACAATGAGAAAAGGTTGAAACTTGTAATTAGTTAATCAGATAATTGTACATAACCAAACTAAAGAGTTGGCGCGTATAAAAATCATCTTTTTTTTTAATTATTTCTGCCTCCTCCAATTAGGACTTCGGGTTCTGTAGCTTGGTCATATATATGCAGACGTGTAAATATAGCAAATACGGGAATTTCATATAATAAGTAAAATAAAATTCATATTTCCAATGTTTTTTAAATTTTTATAATTATTTTTTACTACAATAAAAAGATAGCATATTATTTTTATTACGTTTATTTTTCTTTTATAATATTATTTTATACTGTTTTAAAGTTAGACTGTTATATTATCATGTTTTATATTCTTTTTATATAAAACTTATGTTGTGACATACATTATTTTATGTTTTATATTTTATTTCCACTGTTTGTATTCACGCTTAGTGTTAGTTTTGATTACTTCACATGTTTGTTTGAGCAATATAGTACTAACGTAATAATTCATATTTTTGTATTATAAATCTTAATTTGCATTTTTATTTATATTTTGTTTTGAAAAATATATATTCTATTAAAATATTACAAAAATTTAATAAATAAATTTTAATATTTTAAATCTAACATAACCTTACATAGTCCGCAAATAAGTTGAGGTTTGTAAACTAATGTAGTTTTGGCTTTAAATAGCATGATGTGCTTTGATTTAAAAAAAATAAGCATTTAAAAACATGTAAATTTACAGGCTAAAATTACAAAGGAACTGAAATACATACGTTATGCTCCGATTTCCCTGAAAACAAAACTTATAAGCGTGTGAAATTTTCAAAATTTTTACTATTTTTTTAATTATTTGTTTGAGTGAGAGGATTTGACTTTGATTATACAATAATTGAAGTTATACATATGTTTTGCTTTGAGTTTTAATGAATTGAGGCTAAGAGTAGCAGACTTTAGGCTTCCGTTTTATGAATAACCAAATCATATTATTATGCTTTAGGCTTTGATGTTTATTATAACCGAAATATAAAACTGTTGTCAAGGGTTATTTTTGACAAAATATTTACAAAGGTGCTATTGTTTTTTTCTCTTCCTCTATTACTCTGATCCTCTGCAAACTCTGTTTTGCCGAAATCATCCACTATTTTCGTCGTCAAACACTACCATGCTGTTACTTCACCGTTGCTATTACTCTTCCACTCTTCATTCTCCTCTCTTTCCTTCCCTTCCATATTCCAAACTTAAAACCTCCATTTTCTTTCCATTTGAAGATCACGAGAGGTAGGTCACTCAAGTTTTTTTCCTTTGTTTTTATTTGAAAAGATAATGCAATTACTTTTTGTTCACCTTAGATCAATTTGTCACTTGTTAGGCTAAAGATTTTGGAGATTTCCTATTCTAATTTGTTTTGTGCTCCCAAGTTCATGAAAAATTTTATTTTTGTATAAATATGTTTTTAATATTTTTTTGTATATTTATGTTTAATAATGTGTTTTGTTATGTTTAATGTACTTTTTTATGTTTGATATATGTTGCATTATTTTTTTAATTTGTAATTATATATGCTTAAATTTTGTTTATATGAGATCGTTATCCAGTCAACCTTAAATTTTTGTTTGAGATTTAATACAAAAATTATTTACTACTTCCAAATTTTATGAGTATATTGTATTTTTTTAAAAATTATTGTAAGAGGAGGCTATATTAATTATCAATTAAATATTGAATTTTTCAATTGAAATTTAAGAAGATTAATCTTTTTTCCATACCTTATTAGTATGTCTATATATATATATATATACTTTATTATTATGTAATGCAATGGATGAAAACCATTGTTGGTGCTCGTGTTACAACTAATTGAGAAATAGTAATAATTGCATTAAATCAAATATTTTGTAACTTTGTCTATTTATATACTAGTTATTATTATTTTTTGTGCATAAATTCAAGAGTCCTACACTAATTTCCTGATAAGTCCATTAAGTATTTAAGGATAGTTTGTGCAAATAACATAATACAAATATATAATAGTATTTGGTATATTTACTTCTGATTTATTTAAAACTTTACAACAGTTGATTGTAATTATACCCAAGTTTAATATGTAGATAGAAACAAAAACAAAAAAATTATCGAATATGTCTCGATTATTACCAAAATCAAAACATAAATAGTCAAAGCCTAATCCCTTTCTAATTTAAGTAATTATTTTATGTTGATCAATTAGCTTTCAGTTGTTACCAAAACCGAAACATAAAGTTGGATATCAGGTTTTGATTCTTTAAACAACTGATGAGAATCCCTTTCTGATTTCAATAATTATTTTAATTTAAGCATGTTACGCATTAGTTACTATCAAACCTAAGGTAGAGTATTAGGATTTGATTCTCTAAACAATTAAGGCAATTCATTTCTAATATAAATAATTATTTTATTTTAAGCATATTCTGTCGTGGTTACATCGAAACCGAAACATAAAGTGGGATATTAAGCTTCGATTCTCTAAACATTTAAGATCGAATCTCTTTCTAATTTAAATAATTGTTTTATTTTAAGTATATTATACTTCGATTGTTATATAATAAGAGCATAATCTCCTATCTATTTTATTTTTTTTATTTAGTAACGTTTTTAGATTATTTTATACCTGATGCCAAATAATGAGGTTTATGCTTTGATTAATAACCAAGACCAAATAGCCATGCCTTTTTACCTCGTTTGGGTTTGTCGTAGTTGGTTAAGTGAGACATGATAGCCAAAATAATTGGTTTCAAAATCTTATCTTACACTGGTTGTACATACTTATATATTGTAAATTGACTTTATCTTTAATTGTTGTATGACTTCCAACACACCCTTTCACACCAACTCATATACATATCAACCATGAGACTAGACATTAATGGATAGTCCAATAATGGGTGAAACAATGTACCCAACAAACAATATACTCAACAAACGTTGTTAGAATAGACTAACTCAACTCTCATATCATGTTAAGAAATAAATTTTAAATTTAACTCAATCTTACTGTTAAGATGAGATTGGTATTCACTCATATAAGTACTATTGTAGTAAAAGTTTTTCTAAAAATTATTCGTATCGAACCTGAAATAATAAAAGGTTTGGTTAAGTGATTTTGAAAGATGATCAATCTTTTAAATATGGTTAAAATATGAATTTTGTCTCTGATTTAGTTCGACTTTGTTGATTTAGTCTTAATATTTTTTTTTGTTTAATAAGTTTCAAATTTTTGTTAATTTTATTTAATTTAATCATTTTTACTAATTTAAATAATTGACTGTCACTGAACAATATATGTAAATTCGTAATTTTTTTATTTTTTAAAATTTTCTTGACTTAAAAGAAAATATTCATATATCACGTAACCGGTTCAATGAGACGTATCGTGTATAAGTAGTAAGTTTGTATTATATTCAATTTATATTCAATTTGCTTCTTACATTTATTATTTTCTTAAATTCAGTTTCTTTACTTTTTATTAGGTGAAAGATTATCTTCATAGATTTCCTACAATACTTTTTTAGTTAGGTAATGGGAAAAAGAAATCAAGCGACCCAACTCAACATGCACCCCTATAAGGAAACGTGCAGTAGTTGTGTTTGGTATTCTCATTTCATTAGGTATGAGGGAAAGAAAGAATTCTGTACCGTGTCTTACTCCTACATGCCCCACCTGACACCAACGCCCAGTACCGTGTCTGCTGCTGCCTTTATAGTTATCAGATCCATTAAATCGTATCCACCTCAAAGAATCTAAATTATGATACTCTGTATTCGCATTTTTAAAAAACCACTTTAAGAAAATTCTTAATATTTTAAATTATATTTTTTAATTATAATAAATCAATTTAATTGTTTATATAAAAAATTGAAAAAGTAAACTCTGATCAGTAACATCTGAGTTCCAGGGTTTGCGTACTGGTCCCTGCCCTACCATTTTCTATATTTTTCTTTCATCGCATCTCTCGAGAGCTTTATAAATTCGTAAGAAAGATGGATAAAATCAACGATCAGAGCACATGCAGAACTTTATGGCTCATGTTTTATTTCATTTTGGTAACTGTGTTTTTTCTCTTTCTCCTATTATCTCTTATAAAGCTGTTGTTCAAAAGAAGAAAATTCAGACCAATTCTTTTTAAAACAAAATTAGAACAAAGTTAAATATTTTTATATTTTATTTTAGATTTTTTTAATATTTAATTTCTTAGTTTTAATCAAAGATTTATGCTTGCTTTCATCTTTTAATAATTAAAAGAATGTTAATGTATTGAATTGAATGATAAACAAATAAAACATAATTGTAAATATTTAAAATTATTAAAGATAAAATTCTATATTATTGTGGGAGGAATAA